TAGAGTGATCGGTGAAACAAACAGGCATTGACTGATTGATTGGCGCACCGGACGCGAAGCGACAACAAAGTTTCATTTGTGTCCAGTCCATCTCACCACTGGGCGCGCAGAACACGTCGGTGTGTGTGTGTGTGTGTCTATGTGTACATGCACAAACAGGCCATTTGACGAAAGAAAGAACAAAAGAAAAAACGGAGAGAGGGCAATAAAAAGAACCTGGCCTGTGAGTGATTCGAACAATGAGCTCGGATTTACGAGAGGGACAGGGAGAGACTGCTGGACGGATCGGTCAAGTTCGGTGTGTGTGTGCAGTGAGGTGGTGATCTGCTGAACCTATGTGTTCTTTTTTTTCGCTGACTGACCGTAAAAATGCACAGAGTTTGTTCGCGAGTGTTCAGTTCAACAAGGGAGGGAGGGAACTGATCAGATATGGGGTGACCTAATTGAACAATTGGTTGCGAGTGACATTTTTTTTCTAAATGACTTTCTGTACAGAACAAGTGGAACAGAGAAAGAGAGAGAGACGGTGGGTACATGTATGTATATGTATATATATAGATATGTGTATATAAGAGATCATTGTACAAGAGCACATTTTTAGCTACACAAACCAAGCAATTGATAGACGAAACAGTTTTGTTTCTTGTCTCTCGTCCGTTCGCAACGGCAAAATCAGACCAGTTGAATATTGTATGTGTGTGTGTGTGTGTGTGTTGCCTGATCAAACGTGCATGAATGCATGTGCGCGCGCGCGTTTTGTCTGTCGAAAATGCATGGCTTTCGGCCGAGTTCCACGATTCGCGGACGTAAGAAAGACGTGCAAAAAAAACAAACAAACAAAAGAAAACAAAGAATAGAAAAATAAAGAGAACAACCGCAACAAAACACAGATCACGCTCTGCCCATCCGCTCATCGGCTCGAATTCACGGGGGAGAGAAAGAGACGAGGACAATATTGTGGTTTGTCAAGCCAAGATGGAGGGCAATCAATAGCAGACCGAGAAAATCGATACGCGAGCTCTGACCACACACAAAAGGTCATTCCTTGCTCGATGAGATTTCTAACTGGGGGTCACCAGTGGGAGAGTTACCCCTGTGGGAACAAAAAAATGCCGGTGGCGGGGCGGGCAGACTATCACTATCCATCGCTGGACTCACTGTGTCTGAACTAGGACCCGGAGGATCCTCTTGAGAGTCCGTGTTGGACGGGACCGTGGAGGTTGGTACATAGCCCGCGGCTGCGGCAGCTGCTAAGGAACAATAATGGTTGGCCGGATAATAGGCATGTGACCGAGGAAGTCGTTGATAAGGTCCAGGAATTAATTTGCTTGAGACTTTTTTCGACGGTATTGTTCCCGGATCAAGTTGCAACATTTCCGGTGAGGTGAAACTCAGGCTACGATTTACGCGCAGCTTAGGAATGACATCATCCGGTGGAAACCAGCCAGGTAGCGGTGGCATTACAACGGACGACTTCATATGCCCGCTGGATTTGGATAGAATGTGCTCCGGCGAGACATCTTCCGGCACACCTTGATCTGAATAACCAGCAATAGAACCGTAACTGCTGTAGGACATTTGACTAGATGGATATTGGACGTTACAAGCCGAGGCGGGTCGCTTTTTTGCTGTTGTCTCACGATAATCTGGACGTGCAAGTGGTGACGGTCGATAGGCGTATGTCATGGATGATCGATCTGCCGGATGCTGGATGAAACCGTGCGGATAATTGTCCCGGCTCAGACCACCTATTGGCCAACGATAACGTGAATCGATTAGACCCTCGGCACAGAAGTGATGATCCCCGGTCGCGTCCACCGGATAACGGATGAAAGCGTTTCCAGGGAACAGCTGATTTTGTGCTAACGACGAAAAGTAATGTGAAACGTTTCCGGATTTGGCGCTAGGATCCGGTATGGGGTATTGAGGCCAAATGGCAGACGGATGCGTTAT